CAGCAAACACATGTAAATATATCTGGCCACTAAATCTCGATCCACTCACTAATGTATTCTACCCACTCACTAACAGCACGCGGATCTGGAAAGTCAATTTTATTTGGTTGCATCTGCGATCTTTGGTGGTTAATGCTTGCACAGCTTTATAAACTCTTGCAGTCTGCCATGCTTCTGCAGGCTTACTTACATCATCATGGTATACAAACAGTGAAAGGGTTTATATAATCCACCTAATTGTGAGTTAGGACGTGCCAGGCTGTCTCTTAGCTAGTCAGGTAACGTAGTATAAAGATGTCCCCGTTTTGTGGAGGTCAGGGTGAATGGATGGGTCAAATAAACACAGGACTTTACCCAGGAGGCCGCTGTTCATGTCCTTTATAAGTTGACATATTCAGGCGGCAACCTCCAGTTCTGCTGACTGAAGCCGATGCGAAAGTGTCTTTCAACTTGCATTCTCTCTACTGACCATCAAGGGGGCGACTCCTCTGGTTGTATAGAAGTCTATGAGAAAATGACTCTACTTCTCTCTTGATTCATTACCTCAGTAAACATTGTAAACATGAGTTTATGGTCTCAATCTCTAGTTTCAAGTCTTCTTCCAATGACGGTCCATTTAGAGTCAAATAGACCATAAAGCAGGTTATGCTTTAGGGCGGGCTTACTGTAATTGACAGGTCGCTGCCGCTACCAGAGCCATATGCGGCGTCTCTATGTCACTCCTCCGCATTCCAAATATTGTAACTTCTGTTCATTGGTTGCGAAAAAACCAACATGGCGACGGCCGTAGTCCCAGATGCTGACGCCAAAATTGCTGAACTCGAGGCTTCATAACGTCAGTCCACAAACCAATGGGTGACGTCACGATGACTACGTCCAGTATACAGTCTATGCTTATAATACTTTACTTTTGTCAGGTAACTTTCACACTTAACTAACGCCGCGTGCATACGTTACATAACAAAAGCACTTCTTTTAGTAACAAACCACGAGCCGAAACAGGTTCTGCACTGCAGGCGCACTCATCTCTCGTGTTGGAGAACATGTTGACCAAAACATATGCACATGGTTTGCAGGTGTTTGATGACATTTCTCATAAAAGGGGTCATTATAGTCAGAACTTTTGAAAAGCCTAACTTTGGTCCAATGAGTGCGAGGAACAAATTTATGTTGAATCAACCCATGTCTACCGCAGACAGATGAGGAACCTATCAATCTCGGAATCCATCACATATCGGTCGATGACAGATAAGCCTTTAGAGGTGAGGGGCTATATTTCTGGGGTTCTGGTGTAGCCAGATGATATCCAGGCCAAGACTTCCTTGTCCGTGCGCTGCTCATTCTCAGCAGTCCGATGAGCAACTTGAGAAGTGAGGTTGGAGTTGAGAGACGACGTGTAAGTAGCCAGTTAACAAGCTCATTTTAAACCAATAAAAAAGCGAAATTATCGGCAGACGATAGCCGGTGGGGTCCCAGATTGCATTACGGCCAATGTGTTCCTCCTCTTTTGACTGTTTTGACCTGCATTCAACCAAAGCCTGCTCCAACGTGTTTAGTCGATACTACTCGGACTACAAACCAGAATCCAGAACGCTTTCAATGCCAAAATCTTGTTCTGTCGCCTACAGATGTATGTGAATACAGAATCTGTTTATAGACGTTATTACTACTTTTACTTGAGTATAAAATCTGAGTGAGTCTTCCACCACTGCCGTATTGTTCTGGAGCTCTGGACAGTATCACTCTGTCCTCATCAGTAGATTACGTTTGCTCCGTTGCCATGAAAAATGTAGAGGTTCAGACTTCCCCTGATTCGTGAGCACTTTCAGGACCTTGACTTTGAAATGTTTAGCTCGACAGTTCATTCTTGACCAGGGAAACAGAAGGTGTCACCTCAAGGTCCCCTCCTGCCTGATTTATACTATTACGGCTGTTCGCCTATGCGTTCTGTGCGGAACCCTCTCGCGCACACCAGGCATACATATGTACCGCGGTGAAATCTGGTAGCATGGAATCCCTTTTTTGATGTGGACCTGTGGTTTTCAAGGTGATCTTTGTTTTTTGGTTGTTTTTTTTCTGACAGGCGTAATTCAATAGTACCATATAAATTTGGCCCAATGCAACTCCGTGGCAGGAAAAAGGTTGTTGTTGCTGTAACGGATGTGAGGTACGGACACAGCCTACTCATCTAACACCACCAAGATATTACATTTTTCATTTTTAATTACTGGCTATTAGTGACTGCACACTCATCTCAGATTTCATTTTTGGCCGCAGGTGCAGGCTGTTAAATCCACTGCACATACACTCAACCTCGAAATGTTGGCCGGGGTGGAGACGAGTAGAGCTGGGACTCATCTGGTCCATCTCTCACTCTCCATTTGTTCTTTTTCTCTCTCTTTTTTTTTAAACACACACTCTTGAATTAGAGAGTGTTAAGAGTGCTGGGTCAGGTACAGAGCAGGGGTCCCTGGAGCTGTTTAACAGTTAAGTGGCCATAATGCATTGAGTGTAAAGTGACTGGGATTGAGGGGGGGCTTAGCCGCGGCTCTCCGCCTCGTTCTTAGAAAGTGCTCAGAGGTGCTAATCCCAGCCGGATTTGTGGCACTCATTCACAAACTGCTTGACTTCTGCAGCTCTCAGTCTACTTCTCTGGCCCATTTCTCTCTGTTTCTGTCTGTCTCTCTCCATCTACCTGTCTTTCAAATCTCTACTCACCGCCTGTCTCTCGTCTGCCTTTTACCACCAAAGTCTCCCTCGCACTTTCATGTCCCCGTCTCATCCTAAAGCTCGCCCGAGGACTTCGATCTCGGGTCTCTTTTGATGTCTCTCGGCGGGCGCCTCACGAAACCAGCCACCCCTTGAAAGTTGTGTGCTCGCCACCCTCGCCCTACATTTTACCGAATGCACGCTCGTCTGCTGTGAGTGAGCACAGTCGGTTAGAGGGGAGACAGACACTGCAGTGCTTCACTATCGGGGGTGTGGGAGATGTCTGGAGATCCCACTCACTCTGCACTTACATGTCTGCTCGTGTTTGCGGTGCATTCTCACAGATGTGTGAATCACAAGTCACTCGGGTTACAGCCGTGAAATGTGTACAGTAAATGCAGAAATGCTGTGTGTCTGTGCATTCATGTGCAAACTAAATACTAATAATAAACCCGTACTGTACTTTGTCGTATGTGCAGCAGTGCATGTCTTTATGTTTGCATACTCAAAGAGGTTGTACAGTCTGCACGATATACACAAAAGTGTGTATATATATATATATATATGTGTGTGTGATTGCACAGGGCTGGGCGCAGTGTGTGTGTGTTTGTGTGTGTGCGCTCCAGCACACGCACAGCTTATGTAACGCCAAGGCATGTTATAACTCCACTGCGCCTGCTATGTGTGTGTAGGTGCTGGCTTGTACGCGTTCGCCCCGTTGTGTGTAACTATGGCAAGTGTACCCACTCGCCTGTCTGTGCGTTTGCGTGTGTGCGCGCGTGCCAGGCAGACTGCATTGCCGCAACCAGCCAGCTCTGTATCATCATTGACCAAACTCGCCATCTGTGCCCGTAAGCTAAAGAAACAGCGAGTCGCACTGCTACACAGCAGTTCACACACACCATTAGTGTGTTATGGAATAACAGTGGATTGCCACTGTGTTGTGTGTGTGTGTGTGTATGTGTATGTGTGTGTGTGTCTGTGTTTGAGCACTCATGCGTGTCTAACTCAGCCTGTTTGCATGTTTGTCTCGTGTTCTTCGTCAGTGTGTAACAGCATGTACCTGCTTGTGCACGTGCACAGTGTGTGCACGTGCACAGTGTGTGCACGCGCAGGGAAGGCCCACAGTGTAAGTGGGTCACTCTCTTAGGACCCATAATCCCATGTTTGGACCAAATTTACTCACTGGGGTTTCACTCTTCCTGTTTGGCCAAGCTGATGGCAACAAGCATTAATGACCTCACCGCAGCATTCGGTCATTGGCCTGCAGACCCCGGGCCTTTCGGCCAATCACACGCTGCTCCGGTGACGTATAGCCAGCCAGTGGCTGTCCTGATTGGCGGGGGAAGGCGGGACTAAGGGACGCCGTGTAGAAGGCGCTGTGTAGAGCGCCTTCTGATTGGGAGGGAGGGAGAGAGTGAGTGAGTTTGTGAGAGGGATGGAGAGGAAGAAAGCATGAGAATTTGGGAGTTGGTGTTCTCTGCGGTTCCCCTGAAACTACACTCAACCTGTGGCTCACATGGATCATAGTGGAGACGCCGCTGCCATGCATACAGATGAATAGATAGCTCACAGAGAGTTGTCTACTCTTATTAAAGCTGTGATATAAAAGTGTGAGCTGTAGTTATAATACGCGAGACAGCTTGGGACATGACATATTGATCTATATTAAATTTGATAATGTCACGTAAGGGGGTTTATTCTATCGAAACAAGTCTAACCCGTTTAAAAAAAGAAGACAGATACCGTCTCCTCGGTCTACACGCGTTTCCGGTGTTTGTAGACAAATGAAGAGGGGATGAAAGAATGAAGAAGGAAAGAGAGAGAGAAATATCTCAATCCCGTCCTGCGTGCCCGACAAAGTCGCAGACATGCCCACATAGGAGCCCCATTGGCCGCTGCAGCCTCGCTCTCCCAACAGCTGTTCTGTGTTTTCCCACACTCGGATTGGCCGCGGGGCGCCACCGATCAAATTTACTTTGACGCGGGGCTCCGCCCCTGCTCCCCTTGCGCGAGATCCCATTGGCTACTGTACGCGTTCGTGCCCCGCGATTGGTCGCGCGGGCTGGTTGTCAAGGCTTCGGGGCTTCATTCACCATTTTGCGACTGTAGTGTAGAATGTACAGGGGCAGTAGTTTTTTCCTCCTTTTAAGTTGCTTTGCCGGAGAAACATGAAGCGCCGCTAATTGGCAGCTGCGGACGACCGGCCGACCTGCCCTATTTTACCCGGCGGACTCACCAGAGAACCACACTGGGGTGCTACATTAGCTCGGGTGAGTATAAGCTGCCCACAAATCTGTCTCCTGCAGCACTGCAGTGGGGCTTGTTGTGCTCTCGCCGAGCCGCTATCGCTGTTCTTGTTTACCGTGGCCATAATCAGTATTAGCAGTTGAGCTGTTCACCATATTTTTCCTGATTATGTGGGTAAAGCCCACGGAGAGTAGTGGAGGGCGGATTGTGTGTCTTCTGCGAAAAAAAAAAGGGAGCGGTGCCGATAGACATAGTGAGCTTGAAACTTTTCCACTAGAAATAAATTAAACGCCATAACTGCCGTCGGACTTCCTAGAAACAACTGTTATTGCTCCTGCGTTGTATCGAAACCTCGAAAAGTCCCTTGTCATTCCCTCCTCCTCTGTCTGTGTTACATATTTTCTTCCTCTTTTTTTCCACGAATCAACGTGGCTGTTTGAATTAACGTGTTTTTGAAGCGGCTCGAGGGCCTTCTCCTTTGGACTAGTTCACACATTGACACTTTCCCCTTCTTTGTATCTCGGTCGCAATAACGCAAATAACGACAAGGGTCACCACAAAGTTATCCGGCTAGTTTTAGCTACCCTTTCAGACGACTGTCACTTTCGGATGGGCCAAAACGGCCGACTTGTGTCCGCTGTTTTGTCGTTGTGTTATGACCGTGGAGCGGATCGACAAAGTTAACGCGTTCATCTGTTTGGGGCACCTTTCACGCTGTCACGCAACACGGGGAGTGCGGCCGTATTACACGGTATTAAGTGGTTAATATGCCCGTTAAACCGGTTATTTCCCGGTGACAGTGAGTTGAGGATTTCCAAGCGGCCTTGTGTCTCTCTCTCTCCCTGTGTGTGTGTGTGTGTGTGTGTGTGTGTAGTTGAGGCCTGGTCGCTGCACGCCACGGCCTGCTGTGTTGTGGAGTAAAAGCTGGTAGTACTCGCGGTACTACGAGGGCTTGACACATACACGGTACTATCCAGATAAAGCAGAGGTGACGACATCACCTCCTGTAGTTTTATAACTTGTGCTTTGCACCTTGTGTGGAGAAGTTAGAAGCTGTTATCTGCTCTGGTGAATACATTTATACTGGCCTCTCCTTAATAAAGCACCATAGTGATCGTGTTATACACTTTTAAAGAGGGGCTCTGCAATTTACAAAACTTTTGAATATGCAGTTTGGCGCGGGGTCAGAAATGTACCATAAAAAAAAGATTTAGCATCTCTACAGGAGGTCAAACCATACCGTAAAGAACCGAAAGGTCTGGCAAATTTTAGATAGTGAATTATAGTGAATGTATGGCAAGGTTGGCAAAAACAATGTGTGGAGGGCATATGCAGTTTTATAGCATAAACATGATCAAGTTAACACACTTAATATCCAATATTATAATCTTTTGCATTTCGCCTCAGCTGTTATTAGTTTGTCATAGTCCATTTTTTTGTCACCACGCATGTCTCGCGTCAGCTCGACGTCTACCATTTATTTGTGTATAAGAGAAGGTAAACACCGTTTCTGCAAATAAAATATGGCCAAACTCGCCAATCTGCAAGTCGTGTATACCCGATGAGCAGATAGCGCTCCGCTTTGATCGCTGCACATGAAACATAGGAGGCTTACTATAGCTCCCATATGGGCTTCCTTGCTCCTTGTTGCACTGCGGGGCGAGTGAGTTGCGTCACTTTGTCTTTAAGCTGTTATCACCAGGCCCATGACTCTGACACCAGCTGTTGTACACGGCGCACTACTGAGTAAACACACGTAGCATACCTCTATCGTGACCAAGTAAGGCCGGCTGCCAAATTATTTTATGGTGGCTGCTCTACGGCTGTCTGTCCTAAATAGGGATTTGCATAGAGCACAGTGACGGCTATTAGCTCCCTGGCTCTCTGTCTGCACTCCTAACTGTCATCACATAGATGTTTGCTGTGTGTGTGTGTGTGTGTGTGTATGTGTGTGTGGCCTTGAGACAGGTGGCACTTATCTCTGAAAATGGATTTCTCTCTAGCCGATATGATGTGGCAGATATTAAGAGGACCTGAATGAATGCGCAGACAAACAGGGAGGCAACAGAAGGGAAAAGAGACGGAGGGGGAAGAGACTGGTTGGAGGATGGATGAAGAGACGGGGACAGACAGGCAGACATGGAAGTTAACAGACAGTCAAACAGCCACTGACAAGTAGACATAGCGGTGGATAATAGACATCAATCCAGAACATTTTCACAGTCAATATCAGAGTGAGAATTTTTCAGAGAAGCCGACAGAGCAGTTGGGGGGGGGGGGGTTTGATTCTCACTCGTTTACGCGTGTTGTTAACGTCTTTCTGGCACTCGCAGCTCTGTGGAGACTCTTGTGTTGGAAGAAACGAGGCAGAGCACACAGCACCTAGTACCCGAGGCAAGTCCCGCGCGTATCAGCCACACGGAAAACAAACCAGTTAAATGACAACAGTCTCCCGTTCAACAAGTCGGCAAAATCAATCTGTTTTACTTTCTAAACGGGGGCAGAGGTGTGAATGAGTTCGCTGTGGAATGGGAGATATTCTGAATGACTGTGGCATGGCTAGCAGCGATGCTGAACGACTTTTTCTGGGTGACTGCAGCACAAAATGAGGATAGAGACTTAAGTGGAAGGAGAGGAGAGAAAAGGAGAGATGAAGAGGTAGGAATCAATATCGAGGAGAGAAGACAGTCAGGGGATAAGACTGAAAGTGTAATAGTAGCAAAGAGAGAGAAGGAGGAATAAAGTAACGGGAAGTTAGGTAATGGTCTTCCACAGGAAATGGAGTTTGTAGGGGCGGATTGACTCTGCTTTGAAATACATAGATAAAGGTCGCCACAGAGAGAGAGAGAAAAGAAGGGTTTCAATATGCGAGCGAACAAGGAATTCCCCCGCCTCTACTGCCCCGGCCAAGAAGTAGTGTGTGTGTGTGTGTGTGTGTGTGTGTATGAGAGAGTGTGTGTGTGTGTGCAGAAAGGCTTGTCTGGGCAAATTGCAAAGTGCTCCTCACTATTTCCATACTGTGTTGTGAGCCTACTTCGTGTTTACCCTACAATATGGCCTCCTGTTTTCAATATGTACCTGGTATGGATGCAGGCCTTGTGTAATGTGAGTAGAACCTATTATGTAATGAATTAATGTGTAATGAATTTGTAGATGAGTCATTTTCATTACTACTCTAGTACGATGGTGCATCTTTTAGCGCAGAATACTTTTTTTTAGAATTAATGTTCATATTTAACTGGTTATTACTGGTTATTTTTTATGATCATTTTTGTGTGATCATAAAGTCCCACTTTGCTTTGCTTTCATTTTGAATTAATTTGATGTCTCTTTAATGTCTTCACAGATGTTTGTTTTTGATTCAATCAGTCACTTTTGCACTCAAAGCCATGCAGTTGGTAGCTATCTGTCGTGGTGAATGGGCTTTTTGAATTTCTGAACGTGTTAGCCACATGAGTAACCCGTGCTCCCTGTTCCCTTTCTTTTAGAGTCTCTGGAATAAGGTGGGCAAATGCCGAAGTCGCGCAACAAAGACAAGACAGGATGAGAGAGAGAGGCCCCGGCAGAGGAGAAAAAATAGAGATAATATAAAAGGAGGGGGAAGAAGGAAAAAAAAAAAGCAAGGCAAAACAAGAGAGGAACAGCAAAGAGAATCTCTGGGATAAATAAATAAAAAGACTTGTTTAGAGAAAAGGCAAACTAGATGAAAAGATGAAGCCGATAAAAAAGCAGGGCCGGCGCTCTCCTCCCTCCACCCGGGCCAAAGGGGGGAAGCGTCACGGAGCGGGGGATGCCCCCGAAGGAGGGGAGAAGAGAGACTCAGATGAGAGCAGAGACAGAAGCAGATCTCCACAAAACCGAACACCCTCCTCCCCATTTTCTTCTAATTCACAGTCCGAGTCCTCCCAGACAGACCCAATCAGAGCACGGGACACTTCAGAGGGGCAGGGTCTTCACAGAGAAGCGCTGTCAGAAACGACAGTATCACTTGTGATGGATTCTGGGAAATTTTTGACATCCTCGGATGATAGACCAGGGAGGTCAGCTGTGAGCGGCAGTAGCCACAGTGACAGTGGTGGTAGTAGTTGTAGTAACAGTAGTACACCCAGCGCCAACAACAGCCCAAACCCCGCCTCCAGCCGGAAAACGGCCACCTTCAAGGCCCGTGTCCCCAAGAAGAAGTACACCTCTGAACACTGCTTGTCTGCTCTTGGTAACCATAGCAACCCTTCCTCCAGCACACCCCCGCCTCTTCCTCTTAGTGGTGGGGTTATTAACCACGGGTCAACAGGTTCAGGAAAAGACATCTGTGTCTCTCACCCTGATGGCAACAGTCAGAGCAGGAGCCTGATTGACAACTTTCACACCAGGACCACTGACAGGGAGGGGCCTCAGGACAGCTCCCCAGGACCCCCTACGCTGACGCTGGCAGGGGACAGGGAAAGGCCCGGAGGAGTTGAAGGGGCAAGAGATGCGGAGCGAACGTCGCCCGTCCTCCTACCCCGTTGCTCCTCTACAGACACCGCCAGCGAGCACTCAGCTGACCTGGAGGTAGTCGGCGACACACACGCCCTCACACAGATGTCTACACATGCACTACCCAGTCTCCCTGATGCACTGTCTGATGCCCTCGCCAAAGGAATGAAGAATCAGCGTGTCCTCGCTCGACAGCTCAGGGGAAGAAGTGACGAAGAGGGAGAAGGCGAATGCAGGGACGAGGGGGGGATTTCAGACTTGGTGTTTCGGGCTGGAGTGGTGCGTAAGGTCAGCGGTGAATTTGGAAGCCTGGAGGTGCAACTGAATGGTGAGAAGACGCTGTGCCGTTATCCGTATCAACATGACGGCCCCCAAGGGGTGGTGGACATTATCCTAGATGCCCCACCGCCTGGTGTCCATCCAATAGCTATTGGCACCCGTGTCTGCGTACCATTTGGAAATGACGAAGGCAGCGAGGGTCAGTGGCAGTGGTACCGAGAAGGTGTGGTGACCCAGGTGGACACACACCCTGCGGTGGCCAACCGCTACCGAGTCCTGCTGTCTGAGGAAAGACCTGATTCCGTGAACGAGGAAGAGGATGGCAGAGGGACAGCTGTTGGGACCCAGGCAGTGTGGGTCTCCCGACAAACACTCCGGCTTCTGGTGCCACCATGGGACCTGGATCTGCCGTCTGGAGGGGGACGGGATGGAGAGGAGGGGGTCAGAGACAAGGAAATGGAACGGGAGGACAGGGAGGAGATAGATGTGGAGCAGGAGGTGTGTCGTTTGAGCCGGGGGATGACACCCGGCGTGGGGTCAGTGTTGGGGAGGGGAATAACCTACCCAGGTATGGTCCCGGTTTCCTCCACATCAGGCCACAGCATTACCTCCCCAGTCACCCCAGCCTCAGTCCTCAGCCTGGCTCCAGGCCGAGAGTGGGAAATTGAGAAAGACTTAGAGAGGGAGAGGGACCTCCAGAGAATTCAGGAAAGAGAGCAAGAAAGGGAGAACAATGCAAAGCAGCAACAGCACCAACAACAGCAGCAACACCACCCATACATGCCACTTACCCCCGAAGAAGACATGGAAGTGTCTCACTTTAACATGCTTCCAATGATCATACCTGGGGCCAAACAAATGGCACTTCCCCTGCACCGCCACATCATCTCTAAGCCCCCGCCTGGCTACCTCAATCCCCACCTTTCTGTGGTGCGGGGCATCGGGGTACCCTCTACTCACCTGGCCTTGAACCCCCACCCGCCTCCTTCACCTGTTCTATTAGGCCTTGACCCAGCAGCTGTCATTATCACCCCTCAGCTTCCCCCTCTCCCTCCCATCTCCTCTTCCACCGCATCCTCCTCCAGAGTAGAGAAGGCCCAAGGAGGATGTTCTTCCAGTGGAGGAGCTGGTGGTGGCGTTGGATCTGGATCAGGTTCATCCTCCTCCTCCTCCTCACGTTCCCGCACCCCACTGACAGCTGCCCAGCAAAAGTACAAGAAGGGAGATGTGGTGTGCACGCCAACAGGCATCCGTAAGAAGTTCAATGGGAAGCAGTGGAGGAGGTTGTGCTCCAGGGAAGGCTGCTCAAAAGAGTCCCAGCGCCGAGGATACTGCTCCAGACACCTCTCAATGAGGACCAAGGAGATGGAAGCCAGTGGAGGTAGCCGGGAACGGGGTGGAGCCAGCAGCACAGGGACCCTGACGCCGTCTGACCTCCGAATGAGTGGTGGAAGAGCTAGCTCAGAGTTTGACTGGGATGAGACATCGCGCGAAAGCAGCGAGGCCAGCAGCCGTGGAGGAGACTCCCGCCCTCGCCTGGTCCTTCCCTCTCTGCTCCCCCAGGATCTCTCTCGTTTTGACTTTGATGAGTGTGAGGCAGCGACCATGCTGGTCTCCCTGGGGGGCTCCCGCTCAGGCACACCCTCATACTCGCCTATCTCCAATCAGTCGCCCTTCTCACCCACCCCATCACCCTCACCCTCTCCGCTCTTTGGCTTTCGCCCTGCCAATTTCAGCCCCATCACTGCTCCTGCGTCACTTACTCCGCGCCGCCATCGCCAGCTTAGCGGCACTAAGATGGGTACACCAGGCGTTGACCGAGAGCGCCACCTATCGGGGATTGTGCCCACTTTTCAGACCAATCTCACTTTCACAGTCCCCATGAGCCCTAGCAAAAGGAAGCTTGACACCCACCCGCCCCCTCCGCTGCCTGCAATCCAGGACTACCAGACCAAACCTGACCAACAACAGCTGGTGGGCATGATGGGAGACCCAACCCTGGGCCACAACCCTGCTGCCTTCAGGGTCCTCTCCCCCCATAGTCAGCCCACAACCCCCTCCTCACTTTCTTTTCCCCGGCCTCGTAGCGCCACCAGCAGGCCACCATCCTCCGCTGCCTCCACTCCTCCGCCCATGCTGGTCTCTCCCACCCCTCCCTCCCCGCTGCCCCTGGAACCATCCCCACGCCGCATTGTGCCGCTCCGTGATTCCCCAGTCATTGTCCGCAACCCAGATGTCCCCCTGGCTAAGTTCTCTGATGGCCCATTGGGGAGGAGAGAGAGGAGCAGGTCCAGAGAGCACAGCCAGCCCCAACACACAGCTCTCCCAGGCCTCCAGGTCCCCGTTCCTATCAATGGGGCCACCACCAACGGTGCAGTTCTCCTGCGCAACCCTACATCCACTCTTGTCCTGGTCACCTCCAGCTCGGTAAGCTAGTCATTTTGTTCTGTTTTTGTGTAATATGATTACATGCAGCATAGGGATAGGCCATGTGGATAAAGTCTTCATGGTATAAAAATATAATTATATATATAAATATATAATAACATAAGAAATGGTAGAGCAAAGTAGTATCTTTTTTTCATCATATAATGTCATATCAACCAACCTTACTACAAGTGGGTGGCTTTCATGAGCCTGAGGTCCTAAAAAATAAAGAACATCCATTCAATAGTATTATGTATTTTGAGTGGTTCCTAAAATTCCTAAAATGCTTTTTGTTGCGTAAGTTACTGTTGGTAACAGGCGCGGCTGTTGCTCAGAGGTTGTCTTCCAATCGGAAGCATCCAATTCATGTCAAAGTGTCCTTGGGCAAGACACTTAACCTCAAATTGCTCCCGAAGGCTGCACCATATGTCTATGAATAGGTGTGAATGTGAATTTGTTATGTCCTGATGGGCAGGTGGCACCTTGCATGGTAGTCCCTACCGTCAGTGTATGAATGGGTGAATGACGGCATGTAGTGTAAAGTGCTGCGAGTGGTCGGAAGACTAGAAAGGCGTTATACAAGTCCATTTACTATCGAAGTCCATTTGGTCAAATTATGCTGATCTTACAAAAGTGTCTATTTACACTGATTCAGAATGTAGTTTTGACATCCTAACCTGGACGATGTATAATCTCTATAAGATGGGTCACAAATAGGCGGACCATGGCGTTCTCGAAAAACAGCAATGTGGTCGGCGAGGCCAGAGCCTTTAACCAAGAATGGACAGACTCTTAAATGTTCATTCTTCCCACGGGCAGTTTAAAACCAGTGTGTCTCATATGTTCAGAGACCGTGGCGATTATTAAAAGCGGTAATGTGAAGCGCCACTACAAGACAAAGAACAAAGCTTTTGAGCAAACGTACCCACTCACATCCGAAATGAAGGCACAGAAAATAAACCTAAGAGCCCAATATGATCAGAATCCTAACACATGAATTCACTGTCCAACAATGATGTTAACAGAGAGGAATAGATCTGAAAGAAGTGGTTTAATAACCACAGATAAAGCCCATGCTATGGAGCCAAATCCAGGCCAATAGTTCTGATCATTTGAAAAAACATTTGAACCTGAAGGTTTAAGTTGTGGTCTTGAACTTTGGAAAATACAGCAATGTATTATATTAAGACCTCGAATATCAAAATATATATGAAAGTGAAAAATGAAAATAAATATTTTATTCAAAAAAATTCCAGAACTGAATCAAAATTACATTCAACACAAAAAACCTTTTCATTGACTTATTTGTATTTTGAATACGTTGCTGTATTTTTCAAAGAACTTTCAGGTTTCAGGTTTTTTTCAAATGATCAAAACTATTGGCCTGGATTTGGCTCCATACCCTGCACACACATTTCTCTTATTAGAAGATGACAAGAATATAATATCGTGGCTTTTTTGGGTGACATCACTTCACACCTGAATGAACTGAATTTAAAGCTGCATGGCAAAGACGATTCAGTTGAATTTATTTGGTGGGTACTTTATTTTAGGATGCACATCTTTCAAAAGCTTTCTGTTGTGTAATTGAATCTTAAATGCATCCCTTATTTTACTTGAAACAAGAGAAGAATATTTATTTATTATTAGATTATGTATTATTTATAATTCATCCAGTTCAGTTAAAAAACTGACAGTAAATATTATTGGGATATTATTTAATTGAACTTTCTTTACTTGATCTGACAGTCAGTTGTTGACTACATACAGACAATAATACAACTGTTGGCTAATTCAATATATATGGGACTAAACCATAGCGCAAGTTACTCATTATTGTGATGTTCTGGACCTTTGCATGAGGAAACTCTCTCTAACCTCGTTGAATTTGGATTGAATACCCCTGCTCTATAATCTTGTCAGTGACTGAGAAACTCCACCTTGAAAGTGAATTCAAATGTCTCCTCTTTGATGTGTCCTCCCAGTCCTTGACTCCAGCCATGGGGGGTCACGCTGCCCTGTCCAGCCCCTCCGCGATGCCCACTTCATCGGGCTCCATCCTGTCCTCCTCTGGCTCTGGAGGCCGGGAGAGGAAACCCGAGGGACACCAGGACGCCTCCGGAGGGGGGCTGCCACAGCCGGTAGCCTGTCACCCCACGCCGACCGCCCTGCTGCCGCTCATACTGCCAGCTGAGTCGCCTTACCCTGCTCCGCGCAAGCAAATCATCATGGGACGGCCGGGCACTGGTGAGTAAGGACGGGGAGAGGGAGCGAGGGATCATCCCGGCACTGTGGCTTCGACCTTTGTTCCCGTCAGATACAAAGTCTGCTGAGACACACTTAGTCCGTACTCTATAGTAGGAAGGGATGTGCACGCTGAAGCTTGTGTACTCCAGCCCAGATATTCTTGCTTTCATTATCTCTCTAGAGTTACAGGAGTGTCATCAAGAGTGTTATGGCTATGACTCATATACACTTTACTATGGTTTGCTAGCACTGAAGGAGGAAACCATATTCAAAGGATGTTTGATTTGCCTTCTCAGGACATGTTGACCTTTTTTTGGGAGAGTTTTTATTGACTTACTACTTCATATTTATTAGGCACGTATGTGGCAAATACTCTATTTTCACAAAGATGTTGTTTTATTTTAAGTTATAATATACCATATTTGACAGAAATGTGCCGCTTTGGGCTGCTGTTGTTTTCTAAGAAATACTCTTTCTCGTTAAACAATTGCTTTATCAATGACTCCCTTATAATCAGCCACAGTGAACACAAGGACATTTAGCATTTTGTTTAAGGTAGGATGAAACGGGGCAGAAGTTACCCTTTTGCGTACCCTCTTTCAGAGTATGTATTTGGGCAACAATCTGTGTGAATATTTTTTCTCAGCTCTGTGTGCACTCTGCTGGATATAAGAAAATTGGCCACTGAGCAATAGAGGTGTTTGGGTTAATCATATACTGTGTGCTTGTTTCCATGCCAACCTTGCAATATTTCAGCCCAAAACTCGGAAATGTTACTAATATAGGAACGGGGAAGATGGTTTTCAATTGAAATGCAGGATTTCTCATTTTATGTCAGTTTAGCACAACACTTTCTCAGTCTAAAAACGGGAAAGTGGAATAAATGTACAGGAGTTTGTTAGTGCAGAGAGATGTTGTCAATACTTTTTATCTTCAGTGTCACAGTTCATACTGGCATTTGACAAAACAAGAGGTTGTATTTATAAGTCATGTAGACATTTTTCAGTTAATATATTCATTCAGGACAAATTGCATGGTTGCTCATATGGCATAATATGGCATAAGGGTTGACTTTTCCTGGTTTTAAAGGCTGCATTACTGCAAAGTTTTCTGAACTTACCAGACTGATCTAGCTATTCCATCATTTGCCTTTACCTGCTTCATCATTTTATCCACATTACTGATGATTATTTGTCAAAAAATCTCTTTTGTCGTCTCTATATCCTTCTCCACAAATGTCAAAAGTAGCAGATTTAATGCATAAGGATCTTTAAATTATTTAGCATTTCTTCACCCTTTTCTGACTGAACTGTGATTTCTTGACTCGGCTCAGGCGGTAAAGGTGACTTCAGAGTGAAACCATTTTTCCTCTCAGGCGTGAAGATCAGAAAAGGTTTTGATATAAATCAGCCGTGCAGGCAACCACCCAGACCCGCGGCTCAGTGTGTGTGTGTGTAATTCGTGACTCAGTGTGTGTAGTGTCACAGTTATTGAGTGTGCGTGTGCAGGGGGTGTCACCCTTTTCATATCCGTGTTTGTGAGAGAGAGAGACAGAAGGGGTGTTTCACTGAAACCTTTAAGAGGGCGAGAATATTGACATGTCTAGACATGCAAGACTGAGAGCAGGAGTGCAGAGAGCAACAAGGACATTCACACTCCTCCTCTACCACACACACACACACACACGCATGCATGCATTCATCTCGCTGTTCCAGACAATCAACAACCTCAGACAGGGCATCAAGGGCAGGTCTGCCGTGATGTGAATGTGTTTCATCACTTGCGGCAGAAAAAAAAGGAGTAATCTTATTTGCCGGCGCGTTGTCATGGATACACGCTTTCCACCGTTAGAATTAACGCAGTAAAGCGTCGAGGCCCGAGCTGATTACCGGAGCGTGCTTTTTATTCCTCCCTCACATCCCTCGCACTGCTGCTATCGGCCACCTGCCTCTCGGTAGCGTTACGTTTCCTCCGCCATACATTTTTAAAAACACCCCGAGCCTCAGCGAAGCCCAGAAACAAACGCAGGCAGAAGGCAGTGGAGGCCCCCAGCGGATGAGATGCTTCTAAATATAGCCCGGCTCAAGTGCAGCTGCATTAGCATCACAAGTTTCATTACTGCTCTCTATGAGTATGTCTGCAGCCTTCAGTGAAGAAGGGATAAGTGCTCGGCTGAGGTCTCATCTCGCTGCACAGCTCAGGAACTGCGTTATTGCTTTTTGCACACACGGGAGAAGTTATTTGGGAAACTCTCCAAGTGGCGGTAATGTTTGTAGTCACATGACAGGTGGATATCTACAGTCGAGTCGCATCATTTTCCCACCTTAAAGACGGCATGAAGACGGCTCGTTCTGTGCAGTGTGTCTCTCGCTGATGTTTTTCACAACTCACCACCGTCGGTGCTTCCCTGGAATATTCACGGCTCGCCTCTTCAGGGTGTCAGCTGGTCCTTTTTAAAAGTGTTCAGGATCTCAAGTCAGATTTGTTCAGCACCTTAAAGCAAAAGGCCATACATTCTGTGTTTTTCTCACTCTCATCAAATCTCAACAAATATCTGTCTCTCTTTACTTCCACACTCTGTGGCACTCAGCCCTTATGTTTATTCTGAAGTTTAAAAATAAAAAATATATATATATAGTTTTATTTCTATAAAAGGTTCAGCAATTTCCTTAAACGGCTGGGCACTGTATTGTTCAGCCAATGTTACTCAGACAAGAGTTGCATTTGTTAGGGACTATTTTCAACGGTGGATTAATACACATTTGGTGTTCTGGTGGGTAATTACAGCAGTAGTGTGGTGAATGTCAGATTCATTTTAACTACAGTGCCCACTGTTCATTGCAAGAATGTCAAATGTCACTGTTGCCTCGGTGATATGTTTTTTTATATTTTTTGACAACAATGGTTCTCTATGGAGCACAGAGGGCTTTGGCAAAAACAGATAATACTTGTCTGAGTTCATTTCATTGTGAGTTTTGGTCTTTTTGTGGAGTTTTTTGACAATGAGAAAGATAGACTATTTAAAAGTGCAGAAATGTTACTGACTACAGATTTATTCCCATTGATTTGGGTTTGATTTCCACCCTTACACAATGATGTTTGGTGCAGGCAGAGTTGGAAAGTAAGGCAGGCCAAATAGAAACCACAGCTGTGGGTGGAGGAGTGTTGATTTTTCCCTTCCACTGTTACATTAACACGCAGCAGGTTTACTACAGGCTTCTTGACCTTGTAAACATTTCCTGTTGTCATTCAAATTAGTCACAGAGCTGTCATTTTCCACAGTCAGTTGGAAACGGTCTGTTTCTGCCAGTGTAGTTTCTTTATTTTTGTTATTAATTCAATCTTGAATACAGATTTGTCTGAAAAAAGTCTTAAACTTAGCATAAACCTTCCAATAACCTGCTATTGTATACTAAGTGACCAAACAGAAGTTTTACATCAGTTTTTGTCTCTGATAGTCGGACCTAGCCTCCTGATAACATTTAGGTTTCATGAGAATGGAGACAATCCTTTTAAGCAAAGCAAATGGGTTCAGTCCCTAAAGTTGGCTGGTATCCACACTGCTGATTGAACAGAGCTTGACCAATAAATTGGAAAGTATTAGCTGTTTTAGCGGATATATCCGTATCAATGAACATTATATGTCAGCCGATGAGTAACAACAAATTGCAGTACAGACATGGCAAACAAGGTTTGAGGCTATTTAGAAACAGCGTCTTCAGAGAGCACTGACAAGTTAATGTTTCACTTGCAAAATGTCTCACTGTAAGCAACAAAAGAAAATCTTAAGGGATTGTTTTGTCACCGTGACGGCCGTGGCCAGAGGCATTTATAATTATGGGTTGTCCGTACGTACTTTTATGTCCACCCGTCCGGTCCCTTCTTGTGAAAGTGATATCACAGGAACTCATTGAGGGAATTTCTTAAAATTTCACACAAAAGTTCCACCTGGACTCAAAGTACTGAAAGAAAGGGATTTGATTTTGGAGGTCAAAGGTCAAGGCCATTGTAGCCTCGTGTCCATCCCATTCCCGTGACATCTCAGCGAATTTAATTTAGAATTTGATGGTCAAAGGTCACTGTGACCGGACTAAACACATTTTTGGCCATAACTCAAGGATGTGTTAATCGTGACCATTTCACACAAATGTCTAATTGGATAAAACGATCAAGTGATGACATTTTGGACGTACATGGATGTAAACTGTAACATGTCTGGTGGGAAGAAGCATTGAACTGGGAGGCGGTAATTATATGTTTATTTAAAATTATATATATTTTGTTAGCTATATTGTATAATTTTTTAACTGCTAAATATCTGTATCAATATTGACCTCAAAAATCAGGTATCACTTTGGCTGTCTTTGAGTTGCAGCGGTATATCTGAATTCATCTAGGATATATATGCAGATATACAGCTGCACATGTGAAATAAACCGTATATTCTCACATATTATGCACAGTGAAATCTAGTCTCTGCATTTTACTAATCGTAGTATTAGGATAATATTGACTCTTGTATTCTGTTCAGTTCTCAACGTACATGCACAAAAAAAGACATATGGCTTAAAACGGGGACAACAAAACTGAAAGAGGTCAGCATAAACATTTGATTTGCACAGATATAAATATATATAAAACGTTTGAATAAGACTCACTTCGTCAGCTGTAGTTCCCCATGCAAACAGCAGCATAAATGAAGTAGTATTGCAAAGTTCAGAGCACTGCACAGTGATAATAGTTAGGTGACACCAGAATCTGCAAAAGAGAACTTCTTGAACAGCAGGTCCGGGGTCTGTTTACATTTTCTTCATTGTCTAGCTCAGCAGTATCTGGACCTCCATTTTAGATGAGCCATAAGCTGGCGAACGGTTAGCTATAAATAGAGCATTTTAATACTTTATTATAAAATTATTAATGGAAACCAGAACTGGACATTGCAGTGCTGCAGCAGAGTTCAAAGCCAGTTTATTTCCAACAGGCTAGACCTGTATGTGGAATACCGCAGTCAGGGGAGGCTGAAATCTTTAATATGCAATACTTTATAATTATATAATATATATATATGTATATATAGATAAATGAATGGATGAACAGCTGATGATAAAACTACAAAATATTGCATTTATTCCCAAAGTGGAAATATCCAAACATGCAGTAGCAGTAGTGGTGACATTAGCAGTAACAGTTGTGATTTTAGAAGTAGTAGCAGTGTTAGTGGGTGTAGTATTAGTATCGGCAGTAGAAGAATGTAGAAATACAGTAATAGTGGTGGTAGTATTAGCAGAAGTAAAGCTTTCAGTGGTATCATGATGATGTGAACATATTGTGTTATCTGTGTTGTCATAATTAATCACTCTATGGAAATATTCACTTTAAAATAACAAATTAAGCTATTGAGGGTTTTGTTTTGTGAACTTTTCATCAGCTTAGACAAATGGCCCGTTCTCTGCTTTGTGACAATGTTTTTAATTTTTTCTTCTTCAAAAGATGTATGTAGCTTAAGGAGTAGGAGTATTTTCCTGTTAGGATAACGTTTAATAAGGTAATGTTTAGGTACAGTGATGCTTTGCGCTAAATGCTAGGATTAGCATGCTAACATGCACGCAACGACAACGCTAACTTTTGATGTTTAGCGGGTACAATAGCTGCCTGCCTTCCGTTCCACGGTGTACATTAACAGTTCTCCCTACACCCCCACAGTCCCTCCCCTCACTCCCCCCCTCTCTGTAAACATCGTCGGTATAAAAACATGGTGGAAATAGCAAGCTAACATAGCTAGCTAGCTAGCCAGCCGCTTAACGGGAAGAAATAAGCAACATCATGCTTTATCGACACACCCGTATCTCAGCGTAGGAAATCACATCGCTATTGCTAGATAATCAGTCTTTATCACTGATAGCTTAACTTTAAGTCCACAGACAGGAGAGAACAGGCTTGAGCTGTGCTGTGATTGTGCTACACTGTGATTACAGACAGTAAAAACGATAGATGCTGTGGGGAGAGGCCTGGAGGGGGTCTGATCAGAGAGCTGGAACATTCTTTTATTTCATGAAGTAGGTTAGTCCTACATGGTTGTCTGTATCTTAGAATTGGCCTTACATATTAGGGCTGATTTCAAACAGTAGATGGCGTTTTGATCCATTTCCAACCATGAAATGCCGATTTTTAAAATATATTTGGTAAAAAGCTGTCAGTACAGTAGGCCTACAGTCATTTAATTTAGTTTATAGATTTAAAAAAACTTGGTTACGTTTAGAAAAAGATCATGGTTTGGGTTCAAACAAGTACGTTGCAGTATGACTGCAGATAGCCCTTTCTCACCCATGGAGAAAAATCACCAAATTTGGAGATACATGGTTATACATTTCATTTTAAGTGGTTCTCCGTTTAACATCCGTTGAAGTATTTTACATGTGGTTGAGAATGCATTTTACGATTTATATCTATATTAAGAAAAACACTTTTATCAATATTGTAATATATTATTGTTGTAACCATACGACCCATCTCTAAAACAGTAGTTATAGAGATTTGTGTAATAAATTCAACTTGTGCTCTGTAGTCTTTCTTGACTTGAAATGGTTGAGAGTCTGAAGCTCGGCAGCAGTCTAGACAGCGACTGGTCTGGAGTCTCTGTGGATGAAATAACAGGTTCCCTCATCACATCACACCACATGACCCCTCAACTCTCATTATCCTGAGGGATGTTCTCTGTGCGAGTGTGTGTTGGAAGGGGGGGGGGGGGGGGGGGGCGCAGAGTAGGTGGCTGAACACACAACTCCATTCATGGTCTTCAGTTTCTATCAAAGTGTAGTTTTTAGTAGAGCTTTAGCACGTCACCGGCTGGCGATCGTGGAGGATTTCACATGCTGCCAGAGGGCAGAGCGCTACCTTCTGTCTGCAGGCCATGATAGTGAGATTGATAAACATGATGACATTTCATTTTTTTTTCCTTTCTCTCTCTCTCACTCTCCCCCTTTGCGTTCCCACAGTTTGGACCAACGTGGAGCCTCGGTCGGTGCCAGTGTTCCCTTGGCATTCGCTCGTCCCTTTCCTGGAGCCCAGCCAATCAGGAGCGGCTGCCCAGCCTGCCGATGGGCAACAGCTTGTCAATCAGAGCAAAGGTAGCCAATGACCCCACTCCTTTTTTTCTCTGAAACACCACTGCTTGTACCCACATGTATACGACTACATCTTACAAACAAGTATTTCCCTCACTATAAATAGTGTTTGGTCGGACGTACCGGTAGCCAAGGCAGTGTTTCCCAAAACAGTCGCGACTGAATTGCAAATCGGCACAGTTGGTGCTCACACCAATATAGTTCCAGTAACATTGTTGATAACACTATTTATTGGCTGGATTGCTAAAATGTAGTCCGAGACTAATTGTGAGTGGTGGGGACGGTCAGTAGTCCTCCACAGAGCTTCATTAAAGGCCTTATTTTAGCTCTTCAAGTTTCTCAGAGACCAAGGTCACATGATCAATCTGAAAACACAAATATATTCAGTTTGTTAACATATTTGACAAAGAAAAGCAGCAAACCGGAACATGTCAGAGACCGGAACCAGCCAGTTTTCTTCATTTTGTTATGTAAAATGACTTAAGATAGTTGGGGATTCATTTTCTGTCAACTGACTGATCAGCTTACTCTTTGGGAAATTATAATACTTCATGGCATCCTGTTCATGTCTGTGTCACATTATCAATCTCAGACAGTTTGCCTTTTTAGGATGCATGAGCATAAAAGATAAAACAAATTCATTCTGAGGGGGACACTGTATACTGTCTTCTAAGCATTTTTCCATCTAACTAATTGTTACATAAATTCTCGGACAAGTTATAATGGCCTCAAAAGTGGAGGCCAGTCCAAACATAGTAAAAGTAAGCAATCTCGCTAATGGGCTGCAATAAACGTTGTTAGCAAGACACCTGCAGTATAAAACAAACACTGATTATAACATAGTTGTAGTCAGAGCTTCTCACACCTCCCACCACCAGAATAAAACTGCCTATCAGCTGCATGTAGGGCAGCCCTGCGTTAACACTCATGGCTCTGTTAATTCTTACCTCCGTGAAGCTCTTTCACCAACTAACTTTTAAATGGCTTTTATTTTTCAGAGCCTCGTTGCGGCGTGGCCCTGGTGAGCGATGGACGGACCGGCCCCCCAGACATAGAGAGGGGATCGACGTCCTGCCCTCCCCCGACCAATGACAATCCTCCTACAGACAGGGGCGGGGCTGACAGCGAGACAGAGAGCGATACAGACGACCCGTAAGTACAAAGGGACCGATTTCATCCATCTCCCTGGTATTAATCGTGGTGCTTCATTGTGAGATGCTTTCTGCTTCTTCTTTTTTTGGCCACATAAAAGTAACATGGCAGAATACAACAATTGTGCTCAGCAGTGTCCAGCATTGGCCTACGGATGGCAAATGGAATCAAGAGAAGAGGAGGAAGAAGCACAAGAAACAAAAGATTGAATTGAAATTCAGTTGTAGAGTAGTGCTGTGGCACACTGACCACATTGTGAAATGAGGCCAGGCCTCCAGTCAGACACAGGAAACTGCCAGACAACCGTTGATCCAGTTTAGGTTTACATGCAAGTGTGGTGATTTAAATCTGCCTATTATTCACGTATAAACTCAGTGACTCAGTGAAGTGGAATATCACTTTATTTTGTAGCATAGTAACTGGTTCATTATCATAATATTAAAAAATGTATTCTTGTGTAAATTATGATCCCTACTTTAACTACTACTACACTACAACGTCTTAATGTTCATTTCCAAAATTGTTATATGTATGTATCCATTTTGAAAAACAACAAACTCTGTAGCTAAATTTACTTTACAATTTACTTCAGAGTTGCTGTGAGGAAATTTAACTGGTTATGAAAGAGTTTTCATTTAATACGGATGCGTCTGTATGACCTACTTAAGTAAACAAGACCATCAGCGAAAGGATTGGCTGCTTCTATATAGTTATTCTTAATGCTTGTCAACGGTGCAACCTGGTCAGATTTTTAGGAAATCAGGAGCAGAGCTTGGCCTCGCTGCTCTGCCGACACCACGCTGCTGGAGGCCCAGGCTGTATTGCTTGGCCCGCTGGAGGGAGGAGAAGCACGGGAGAACCAGAACCAGGCCTGCACGGGGCCGACTGTCAGACACCGTCGGCAGTAAATAGAGAGGTTTTCTGAAGGGAATCTGGTTCTCAAAAAACAATGCCGCTTTTGTCCACCAAAATCAACAAAAAAATCAAAGTTCCTTGTAGCAAATTTAAATATGGAGAGAAAAAAAATAAAGCTTCTGACCTTTAAAAGGTTTAAATGTTGTCAACTCATTTTGAGCAAACACTGAATACATTGTTTCCTTTCCGCGACTCTGTGCATGACTCACAAGAAAACAGATAGTAACTGTAGATTAAATTAGACGCAGTTTGACCGCGTCGAAGACTTTAAAACTCTTAATGCCGCTACGCTCAGAACAGGTGGACCGAAATTCACCTCCGACAGCAGAATTTCGAAAGAAACAAACAACAACAAACAACTTTTCCTACCGGCTGTATCAGTGTGTGTGTGTGTGTGTGTGTGTGTGTGTGTGTGTGTGTGTGTGTGCGTTTGTGTGATTGTGTGTGTATGTGTGTGTGTCTGGCAAAGAGTTGTACAGTCTGTGCTCATCCATTCCTCTCAGGCTTGCGTCTCTGCGTCTGGCTGGGTTACTGCTCTTTCAGAGTGACTCAGACGGCTGCGTGGCTGTCTGGCTGGTAGTGCGGTTTTGAATGTTTCAGGGTCACCGTGCTCACACAAAGGCCTGTCATCACCAAAAGAAGTACTTCAGCAATCTCTCGATGTTGCAGTGGCTACACCTGTAGTCTGGCTGCATCTCAATGAAGAGACTAACGGCATGAATAATAACAAAGCCGACTCTTTTAACAGGATTTTGAGCTCCAAATTATGCCCCCAGCTACACAAATACACCTCCCACTGTAGGGAGCATGATATACATTCTTTAGATGTATTTGTTTGCTTTTTATCTGCCACTTCTTATCTGTCAATTCTTGGTCTATCACCCCCTTTTTGCTTTCTTTTTTCTGTATTTCTTTTGTGCTTTCCCAGCCGAACTCCCTGACACCTCATGATTGCTCTGGCTTAGATTCTACCTTCACGGACCTTCTACGGTCACTCTTTTCCTCCTTTCTGCTTATTTAATCTTTGTTGTATTTATGTGATTGCTGTATATCATTTTTTTTTTTTTTTTAAAGGCTTTAGTAACACTAGACAAGAGGGCAAAAAAAAGTGGCATCTTCATGTAGGACACTGAGTTCACTCACAGCTGAAAGGTTCAGACGTTCTGTCTGCTGGCTCACATTTTCAAAAGACTTCTCTAATGGTCACAATGATCACTATCCAGCTTTATTCACCACTGATTTATTGGTCTGCAGTTTTGTTTCATCACTGGTGTGTTTAATTTAAAAAAATGAACCAGTGAATTTCCTTTTTCCAGTGTTTAGTTTTATTATTCATGTTCTCTTTTTTTGTCTTTCATCACTCATATCAACTGTTCGATAATTTAAAGTCATAATAAGAATTTGTGTACAAACTAACGTCTTTTTTGCTGCTCTGTTTCTCCGACACGATAGTAATCCAAACTTGACCCGGTCTGTGACAGCATTTGTGTTATTTACTGTGTCAGGGTGCTCTTTCCTTGAAACAATCCAGTGGTTTGCAGGAAGATTGCAATTTATTAGTAGTAGTAGAAACAGCCGTTTCTGTGGAATTAACCAAATAAATACTCAGTAGTTGGCATGCGTATGTGATGACAGCCAAGGCTGAACAGATAAAAGAAAAGTGTCCAGATTACGTCCACGGTAAATGAAAGGAAAAGGGGGGAGACACTGTTCTGGTTGTCTGACGTGTGATCTCTAGGCTGTGTGTTGTAGAGTCAATAATCAAACTGCAGATAAACGCTGTAATCAAAAAGGCAACATGGTTTATACTTTAACTATGTATGGACACCGTAGCATGTCATACTGTTCAAGTGCTAAAATGGAGCTTCACCACAAAGGTGTGAAATACATTAAAACTATTGAAAAACGGATCAAATAAAGAGTGGACTCCACACTCTGATACACAGTATCTTAATAAACGATGACTATTGTGTCTTCGATTCCTCCCTAAATCCTTAGCAGCCCTGTAGCCTTGTCATTTTCCTGAAAGTCCCTCACATTGAGGAATTTCCCTTAATCTCCCGTGTCTTTTGGACTCAACGGTTTTCCTTTTTTCCTCTGTGGTGTGAACGTAGGTTCTCCCCGGGAGTGGCCAACGACGCGACGCCCTCCGCCGGCTCCATGAAGAGGCGCACGCAGTCCCTCAGCGCCCTGCCTAAGGACGGAGACAGGAAGGTCAGTCCACCATGCAGACGGACGGTCAAAAAACAGAGACAAATATATTCTCACCATGAAACTGAGATTTGTGTTCCCTTCCAAAACCTCAACCAGAGGGAGAAGGATCACATCCGCCGACCAATGAACGCATTCATGATCTTCAGCAAGCGCCACCGGGCCCTGGTGCACCAGCGACATCCCAACCAAGACAACCGAACAGTCAGCAAGATCCTGGGGGAGTGGTGGTACGCTCTGGGGCCCAACGAGAAGCAGCAGTACCACGATCTGGCCTTCCAGGTGAAGATAGAATTCCTTATTTGGCTCTTATTTTCGGTTTGATTTGCAGTGTGCACTTTATGAAGTAGCGACTCTTCAGCCGGTATATGAGAGTTTTTATTTTGCGCTCTATACATCCAGAATCACCAACATTAATAGTAGCTTGTCTGGAATAAGTTGCTGAAAAATGTTAAAGACCCTCTCCTCCTCCTCCTCCTCCTCCTCTTCCTCCAGGTGAAAGAAGCCCACTTTAGAGCCCACCCAGACTGGAAGTGGTGTAACAAGGACCGCAGGAAGTCGCTGTCGGAGGGCCGTGGGTTGCCAAAGGATTCACGGGAGAGGAGCATGTCAGAGAGCATAGGTGTGTGTGTGTGTGTGTGTGTGTGTGTGTGTGTGTGTGTGTGTGTG